AGCATCCCAGCACAGCACACTAAGAGATACAAAAGCCTGAGAAGTCCAATGCGGTCACTTAACGATAGAAGAATTTATTCAACTAAGCAAATATGGGGTGAGACCACAGTCTGGGTAATTTCAGGAAGCATAGACCTCTTCTCTTGCAGGGGGGGTTTGAGTGAACTCAAAGGTTGCCAGTTATACTGCTCTATGCATCTCAAGCGGCTAACTGCAACAAATACTGACGGAAGTCTACAAGGGCTTTAGGACATGAAAGAATTGGAAGGATGTTACACCAATCATTTCAGAAAAGTTAAATCAAAAAAGTGTCCCCAGGATGAAAATGGGTGAGGAGAAATTTAACTCCAATCCATTTTTTTTTCCTGATAAATAAAATGTATTAGTTCTACACGATTAACTCCAACATTAAACCAAAGATAATACATTTGTCAACTTTAATGGTTAGTTAGTTAGCTAGTTAGTTAGTTAGGTCACTCAGTCGTGCCCGACTCTTTGCGACCCTGTGGACTGTAACCCACAAGGCTCCTCCATCCATGGGATTCTCCAGGCAAGAATACTGGAGTGGGTTGCCATTTCCTTCTCCAAACTTTAATGGTTAATGTTCACGAAAAAAGTCAAGTCTCTTTCTTGGGGAATAGCACCATTTTTCTTGATCACTTGTGTTCTGTTAATTCAACATAGGCACCAAGGGAATAAGGAGTCCTAAAATAGAGAAGTTAAGAAATGGCAATAATTCTGACATACTCATAACCTACCCTCTTGCTTAAACACACAGTAGCCAGTGGGGTTGAAGAAATTGTCTGGAGACTTTGCTTCTATACAATGTAGCTATTTATAACACAAGTGCAGCTGTTTATAGGTTTGAATCTGAATTTTGCTACTTATTAACTGTGTGATATTGATCAAGTCATTTAAACACCCTTGGCTCAGCTTCCTCATCTGTAAAATGTGAATAATGGTGTGTGTGTGCCAAGTCACTTCAGTAGTGTCCAACTCTTTGTGACCCCAAGGTTTATAGCCTGCCAGGATCTTTTGTCCATGGGATTCTCCAGGCAAGAATACTGGAGTGGGTTGCCATGCCCTCCTCCAAGGGACCTTCCTGACCTAGGGATCAAACCCACATCTCTTAAGTCTTCTGCACTGGCATGTGGGTTCTTTACCACTAGCACTACCTGCGAAGGCCAAGTGAATAATGTTAATTGTGAGAATTAATTGATTTAAAGTGTGCAAAGCACTTAGCCCAGAACTTAAGATGTGGGACCCCCCAGTGGATGATGGTGATGATGATGGTGGTAATATGATGATGATGATGGTGGTAATGACAGTGGTGGTGGTGGTGGTGAAGGTGAGATGGCGATGGTGGTGATGATGATGTGATGATGATGATAATGATGGTGATGACAATGGTGGTGGTGATGATGGTGATGACAGTGATGTGATGATGATGGTGGTGGTGATGATGATGATGGTGGTGGTGATGATGGTGGAGGTGGTGATGTGATGATGATGTGATGATGACAATAATGATGGTGACGACAATGTGGTGATGATGATGGTAATGATAGTGATGTGATGATGATGATGGTGATGATGATGATGGTGGTGGTCATGTAATGATGATGGTGGTGATGATGATGATGATGGTGGTGGTGATTATGGTGGAGGTGGTGATGTGATGATGATGGTGATGTGACGATGTGATGATGACAATAATGATGGTGACGACAATGGTGGTGATGATGATGGTAATGAGTGATGTGATGATGATGATGGTGATGATGATGATGGTGGTGGTGATGAAATGATGATGGTGGTGGTGATGATGGTGATGGTGGTGATAATGGTGGAGGTGATGATGTGATGATGATGGTGATGTGACGATGATGTGATGATGACAATAATGATGGTGATGATGATGGTGGTGGTGATGATAGTGGTGGTGGTGGTGGTGAAGATGAGATGGCGATGGTGGTGATGATGATGTGATGATGATGATAATGATGGTGATGACAATGGTGGTGGTGATGATGGTAATGACAGTGATGTGATGATGATGATGGTGGTGGTGATGATGGTGATGATAGTGATGTGATGATGATGGTGTTGATGATGATGATGATAGTGTAATATGATGATGGTGATGGTGGTGATGATGGTGGAAGTGGTGATGTGATGATGATGGTGATGTGACGATGATGTGATGATGATGATGATGATGGTGATGACAATGGTGGTGGTGATGATGGTGGAGGTGGTGATGTGATGATGATGATGGTGTTGATGATGATGGTGGAGGTGGTGATGTGATGATGATGGTGATGTGACAATGATGTGATGATGATGATGGTGATGATGATGATGGTGGTATTGATAGCAAGGAAGAAGAAGGAGAGGAAGTGCAGACAGAGGGGAAGGAGGAAGAAGAGGAGAAGAATGAGGCTGTTGTAGTGATGATTGTGGTAGATGGCTGTGATGGTGGTGGTAACTCCAACTCAACCAGAGGGAAACTGTTCCATGGGAAAAATGATGTCTTTTTTTGGGGTCCAGCAACTTGCCTGCTACATTGTAGACACTCAATAAACACTAATTAAATGAATTAATGTTCTGATCATTTCTCAAGCTCATCTCAGCTCCACAACAGTCAACAATCCTATGAAATGTAGGATTCTTTCCCTGGGTTTTCACATTTAGACTTGTAAGGTTAAAAAATGAATGAAGTCTTTATGGTATTTGTAAAACTCACATTGTAAGGCACAATTAGTCACCACAAAGTCACTTCATTGACTTTAAGCTACTGCATCTTCAAGGAGCAGGAAGAAAGGGGCTGATCAGGAAGAGGAATCAGTGAGAGGAGGAGGGGGCAGCTAGAAAACAGGGTGGTGGGGGGAGTTACGTTCCCTTAGATTTCTGATGGTGCCCGGTCTCTGCAGAGACCTGACCACTTGGTTAACCTGCAACAAAACTTCACACTGTGCCTACAATTACAAAGAAAGACTCCTCTTACAAGCTCCTGGACATCAAAAGCATGTTTCTGTGAACCACAGGTCATATTATGAGTAGATTGAACCTGCTGGGCATTTTCTGCTGGGCACAAGGTCACTTCTTATTAACTCCCAACTTTGGGGATAGAATGAAATTCTGGCCAGAAAGCCAGCACATCTCAGGACCAGCTCCATGCCTTTGCAGCATAAATTAGTTCATGGAAGACCAACACCTTATAATAGCAACTGACACGGGTTCCTGTAGAAACTTGGGTGCCCTGGAGCCTCCAGATCTCTGACTACAATTTTTACATTGTCTGCATAGGGAGCAGAGGCAGGCCAAGCCAGAGGCCATGGATACTCTAATCTAAAGGCTTGCCTGTATTATTTGAGCACTCACGGGGTCTTTGCAGGGCCCCCTCCGGCCGCCTCTGAACCCGGTACCTTTAAGACCGAGTGTATGCACCATCTTTGAAACTCCTTCTTGGGAAGAAGGAGAAAATCACATCCTACCTGCGCCATGTGTCAGGGCTACCACCAGTCACTCCCTGGTTTGTCTCCTGAACGATGCTATGCTCCTTAAGAAGAGAGTCGTCATCTTTTACTCCCAAGATCTGGCCCAGGGCATGCAATCAGTGCTCAACCCTCTCTCTACGATGGGTACACACAAATAGGAAGCAGATGCTGCGTCCCCTCAGGACCAAAGGTAAAATTATTTCCTCAAACAACAAAGACCTTGGCTCTATCAGTGATTTGGATTTCTGTGTGTGTCTCCTACTGGTATTCACAGTACGCTGCTCTCATTTATCCCCAATTCCCTCTTATAAAAATACATGCCCTCTGAGATTCAGCTACTCCTTTCATTTTTAAATAAGCAGATTTAAGGACCAGAAATTAATATGGAAGCCACAGTGAAGGACAAAGGAGAAGCTACTGCCCCGTGGGAGATGGAAGGCAAAGAGTCATTCCTGGCTGATTTTCAACAGTTCGTGAAGCATAAATGGCAATTCAGAGGAACTGGACAGTGAGAAAATATGACTCAGTGTCATTCAACAAAGCATCAGTGGAAAGCACACAAAACGGGAAGGAAGTTAGGAGGCAGGCTTCCAGCTTCTGCTGTGTCACTAACTAGCTCTGCGACCTCAGAGAAGTCACTTAACCTCTCTCTGCCTCATTTACTATAAAAGCCAGGCTGTGAATGAGACCTCCAGTATTCCACTACAAAGGTTCTCTGCCCCGAGCATCAGTTTTCAAGTGCATCCCATGGAGGCTAAGATGAAATGAAAACAGTATCTGTGGAGATAACTGGAGAGGTTCTAGGACCAGACTGTGCAAGAGGGATGCAGGGAAGCCTGCAGAGGATGGGGAGCAGTCACATCTTTTTTCCCCAGGACTGCACTCTAGAATTATTCCAGACCCAACTAAAGGAAACAGACTATTCTGAACCAACGAATGTATTATAAACATACTGCCTTTCACCTCCAGTTCTATGTTGCTTTGTGGTTTAAAAAAAAAATTCCCCAAACAAGAAAACAAGATTTCATCTAGACTGAAGTTCGAGAGGAAGATTAACTTATCCGCATGTGGTCACTGGACTCTACTGTTTCCTTCACTAGGCAGCATTCCAGAAGAATCCTTTCAGTTCCTTTTGGCGCCTGGACCCAGTTGGGAGTGAAAGTGAGAGGAGTACAAAAGGGAATAAAGAAGCGTGGAGAAGGGAGGAAGGCTCAACTGTGTCTCTCCCTGTCCTGTTGCTTAGCAACATTTCACGTCTGGGTCTGAGAAGTAGCGATTCAGGGAGGCGACCCCGAAGACCCATTACTCATGAAGGAGCAGCTTGGTTTGACCAGATACACATTTTCTTAGAATGATAGTAAGATGACGATCACAGCAAAGAGCTCTGTGGAACCACTTCTACAGCCAGAGAAGGGAGGTGAAAGGCAAATTACAAAACCCAAGCTCTCAGAAAGTGGCGGAGAGTGGGAGAATGAGTCCCCAAATGCACTCAGGACTCACCACTTATCCACTTAGCCTCGGGGTCGTGGATTTTGAAATCTTCACTGAAGAGGTCTTCCACAGTCACCTTCTTCTTTTGAGACAGACTGTTATCTTCCGCTAGAAAAGAGCAAGGAGCACAGAGACAAAAAATTATATTTCCTGGTTAAAAAAGAGAGGACCATAAAACATTCTGATTGCCACCCAGAAATAGTATACAGGGTTAAACATAATTTCTACACATAGTGCTGAATAAAAGCCAGGCATGCTTTTTGCTTTTATCAATAGCTTAGCTACCAGGTGGCTTAGTGGTAAAAAAAAAAAAATCTGCCTGCCAATGCGGGAGATGCCAGTTTGATCCCCAGGAGAAGGAAATGGCAACCCACTCCGGTATTCTTGCCTGGGAAACTCCACGGACAGAGGAGCTTGGTGGGTGGGCTACAGTCCACGGGGTCATAAAAGAGTCGGTCGTGTCTGAGGGACTAAACAATCACAACAAAGCTATCAAAAACTATTGTAAGGGGAACCACAGTACAGTAAAATGGCATCATTATGGCCTCTGTACCTGTAAAACATAAATAACCATCTTAGATATGAAGGTAAATAAGTGTTGAAAAACTGACTGATGAGCAATAAGGTGGAAATAGTAAAAAAATAAACAGGGATCACAACTGTATTATGTAACCAATCATTCATTAAGCATTCATAATGCCAACAGCAAACATGTTGGGTGCCTGAAACCCAAAAACAAGTAGCACATTCCTTAGGTCCTTATTTCCCCATATGCCTCACTCATTCCTGGCTGCCTTCAGGTTGGGGATTAGTCCTCCAGAAAAGAGACAGACCCCAAATTCTGTGTGCAAACTACCAGGTTCTGACCTCCCCGCCTCACTTGGATGACCAGGCTTGGGAGTAAGCACCCGGGATAAGATGTGAACTTCCATCCCAAGAGGAGGTATTCAGGTAATGACACCAGTGGGCAGACTTTATGAACCTGGAAGCTTTTATCTTACTTCCTAAAGCTGAAGCTTCTGGGGATTTAGATCTGCCTCAGAGAGGTTCTCTCATTACAGGCACAAAAATTCATTCATCTGCTTTGACAAGACAATAGGCTGTCCACCTTCCGACCTGTGAGTCTAAGCAGATTAAAGCCAGGCAGGAGCAGAGACACAAATGCAGGGAACAGAACGTGTGGACGTGGCGGGGGCAGGAGAGGAGATGACCGGGAGACTGGGATTGATACAGACGCACCATCGTGCATAGACAGCGAGTGGAAGCTGCTGGATTAAGCAAGGAGCTTGGCTTGGGGAGGATATCTCTCTGAGGATAGAGAGGGGTGGGCTGGGGGAGGCAGGAGGCAGGCTCCAGAGGGAGGGGACGTGTGCATACTTAGAGCTGAGTCACACTGCTGAATAGCAGAAACTAACACGATATTGTAAAGCAATATCTCTCCCCGCAAAACCCCACCCGGACAGGACCTCAAACCACCCTCACTTTTGTTGTACTAACAAGACACTCTATCTTAACTTTGTCCGATGTCCATCATTTATGTAGGATGTTTATTTACGACCCGGCCCTCTGAAATAAAAGAAGAGTCAGGTTCTCATTTCTTCTGTTCTGTGTTGGGCTCCTGCGTGGGGTTACCATGAGTGTTAATCAGGGCGTGTAGGTCTGTGTGCACCCTGCGTGAGGTGGTTTCAGATCACTGCGTTTTACACGGGGATGTTTGGTTGTTGGGACTGTTTCTCTTTTGAGTTCCGGCTGTTGAGACAGCCTTCACTTCTTGGGCTGTCTCAGTGATTGCCCTCAGCAACAACATTGTCTCTTTCAACTTTCTGTTTCAGAATCTGTGGCAGGTTGGGGAAACAAAAAAAAAACATTTTTATCTTACATAATAAAAAAATGATAATCTCTGAATGAAATCCTCAAAGCTTCTAGGATTCTAGCATACGTATAGATTTTGTTACATCTCCTATGGTTTCTTTTTTGTGGCCTCCCTGGGCATGAAAGATTACTGAAATTCGTAGAAACGTTGCACACGGACTTGTATCTTGCATATCAAATAGGATTAGTGCATGTAAAAGTCTTTTGAAATGTACAGATGAGGCTTGAGGTGGCCTTCCTGTTAGACCTGATGGTATGTGGAGCTCTCCCAGGTGCTGATCAAAGCATGTTAAAACCAAGCCTAGTTCTTCCCTCTGGGACTTTCTTATCTGTCTCTGAAGCAGTCTCGGAAAAATATACACAGCTTCAAACATGATGCATTTCAGTATGGAAAACAGTCAATACATGAAAAATTTAAAGATTACTAGACATCAATCTAATAAAGTTATACTGTGAACTAGTAATTAAGAAGTATATTTGCAACTCATTGATAAATGAGTTCTGGAGCTCTCAAGCACATTTAGTGATTAGAGGCGTCAAAACTGTACTATAAACATCAAACTTGGTAAGAGCATAGATCTTAATTCCCCCCCCCCAAAAAGAAGATAATCACGTGGCCTTACAGGGGGTGTTAGCTAATCCTACAAAGGCAATCATACTGCAACATATAAATGCATCAAATCAACATGCTGTGCTCAGTCGTGTCCGACCCTGCGACCCCATGGCCTGTAGTCCGCCAGGCTCCTCTGTCCATGGGATTCTCTAGGCAAGGATACTGGAGTGGGTTGCCACGTCCTCCTCCTGGGGATGTTCCCGACCTAGGGATTGAACCCGCCTCTTTCACGTCTCTGGCACTGGCAGGCATGTACTCTACCACTAGTGCCACCTGGGAAGCCCTAAACTTAAACAGTGTCAAATATATTTCGATTAAAATACAATAAATAAAACAAGAGCAAGAGTAAGTATGTCAGAAGCACTCAAATACATGGTCAGAAAATAACTCATCATATTAGAACTTGAATTTTATCTAAGTAAACACTTCTCTTCAGTGATGGTTCTAGCTCCACATTTTGGAATCCATAGGAAGCCCAATAAGAACGAAAGACTGCAATTTAATCAAACTTTGGGTCAATCAGGAAAAGTCGATCCACTCAGTTTCTGAAAATTTTTCTTTTCACAAACAATGGTTCTATTCATCAAAACAAAAAGCTGGTTGTTTCCTTCTGCCACACTGCATGGCATGCAGAACTTCCCTGACCAGGGATCGAACTCATGCCCCCTGTGTTGGAAGCGTGGAGTCTTAACCACTGGACCACCGAAAATGTGTTTTATTTTTTAAAAACTACTACTTCCTTGGTTTTTTAAAACAATACTTTAAAATCTGATATGACTTACATAGGGAGAGCCTGTGGTGGCAGCATTACTATAAACACTATAAAGAGTGCTCCGTTCAAGCCCGGACAGGTGCTTCTGTCAACAGTCAGCTCTGCCTCCTCAAGACACTCTCTGCTGGCCCCTCTGGAGCTTGACAGCTCGTTCACATGGTCAGGTGCTATCTAACTAAGCTACCGACGCGCAGCCTGATGCCCTCCAAAGTGCTCTGAGGCGGGACTGGCACAAGGGACCACCATGTTCAGGAGTCAGGCTGAGCCCCCAAAGAATCACAGGTGAAAGACCTTGGAAGCGATTCGGACTCTCAGAATCTCACAGAGGAACGGAGCCAGAGCTGAAACAATGACCACGCTGCAAGAGTGCCAGGGCTGAAGGCAGCAGGACCCGATGTGCAGGAGGCTGCGGAACAAAACGTAGGAGGAATTCCAGAAAGAACTCTGTGAGAAAAGAACCTGCTAGCCAAGATAAAATAACGGAAGAACATTCAAGCTAGGAGGACTGCAAGGCCATGAAGGCATTGATGGCTGCAATACTCTCAGGAAACTGTGAGTGGGTTGGTATTGGTGCAGTAGAAAGTGTGAGTTGAAAATGTCCAGCGATGAAGGTATATTCCCTCGTGTTTGATATTCTGAAATTCCATTAGAAAAATGTCTAGTTGTGGCTTTTCTTTAAATATCCTGCTCACCAGTTAGTACCATTTACAGTCTAAGAACTGCCTTTCTCTGTATCAGGAATGTTATCAGTAACTGTCTAATTCAGTACTGCTTCTCCATCATTCCAGACCCCACTGGACCTCACCAGGAACCTCTAGGTCTTCTGCATTTTGGTGTCTCTGGGAGGATTTGCATTATTTCTTCAGCTCAATTTTTATCTATTTTTTTTCTTTAGTGTGTCAAGCTCTTTCATTTTGTTGCTTTAAATTTCTAACCAATTAATTTTAATTCCTAACATGCCTAGTTAGCTTAATCAAGATCATCTGCTCTTAGGTTACAAGCTCTTTTATCAAATTGATAATTTTGAAAAAAACCTTTTGGTCATTTTCTGTTGTGCCTAATAGACTTCTGTGCCTTTGGAGTCAAGGCCTCATGGTCATTTTCTCTTGAGCCTAATAGACTTCTGTGCCTTTGGAGTCAAGGCCTCACGGTCATTTTCTGTTGAGCCTAATAGGCTTCTGTGCCTTTGGAGTCAAGGCCTCACGGTCATTTTCTGTTGAGCCTAATAGACTTCTGTGCCTTTGGAGTCAAGGCCTCACGGTCATTCTCTGTTGAGCCTAATAGGCTTCTGTGCCTTTGGAGTCAAGGCCTCACGGTCATTTTCTGTTGAGCCTAATAGGCTTCTGTGCCTTTGGAGTCAAGGCCTCACGGTCATTCTCTGTTGAGCCTAATAGGCTTCTGTGCCTTTGGAGTCAAGGCCTCACGGTCATTCTCTGTTGAGCCTAATAGGCTTCTGTGCCTTTGGAGTCAAGGCCTCACGGTCATTTTCTGTTGAGCCTAATAGGCTTCTGTGCCTTTGGAGTCAAGGCCTCACGGTCATTTTCTGTTGAGCCTAATAGGCTTCTGTGCCTTTGGAGTCAAGGCCTCACGGTCATTTTCTGTTGAGCCT